CTTACTTCTTCTTCATTACTTTATCTTATTTGCGCTATACATCTTCTCTTTGGTGATTCTTCTTTTCTTTAAAGGTTTTTCGCATTCTACTTTCGTGATTCTCTTTGTCACCATGTCTTCTCATAGCAAATCCCAAAATATGTTATCAGACTCTGAAGTCACTTAAGGATTCCTCTCTTGGTGTGCCTTCTTCTTTCTAAAGATCTCAATACATTGAGGCACAACCTCATTCTGTAATGAACCCATCCATTTCTAGGGCTAGCCCGAAACTTCTTAACCTAGGAGGTAGTTCCCAACATGGGATTGATGAGTTTCACAGCCCTTCGAATGATTCAGTCGATTTGAATGCTAGCGATCAGAGGCTTTTGAAGCCTTAGAGATATTTACTAAGGATTTGTCTTGAGCAATTCCAAACTAAGGATTGCCTTTCCCATGATTGTATAACTATCCATAACCATTCAATGGATATGGGGCTCAGAATCCCCTTCTACCCTTTTTTCCGTACTATTCTCTCCTCTTTTGATATCATTCCTACCCAACATACCCCGAACAGATGGGCACATATGGGTGGGTCTTTTTTGCTATGTAATATTGCGAGTTTGGGGAGAGAGATTTCTCTAGACGTTTTTAATCTATTTATCATCCCGTAAAAGCGAGAAATAAAACGTACCCTCAAAAGGGGTATTACTTTCTTTCTCCCCACTCTCCCAAAACATGTCCTAAGCTTGTAACTACTCCCAATAAAATACATAATTGGAATGAGAGATTTTTCTTTGCTCGCAGCAATTGGGATTTGCGGCCTAATAATCATCACCTTTCTGTGATTATATGTTGGTGTTATGGCGAGTACGATAAGTTTTTTTTCCTTCGCGCATTATTTTCTTTTAATTTTAAGAGTTATCTTATTTGATTATATTGCCCAGATAAACAACCAGCCCCCTTCGCAGTCAAGTCTTTAACGAGATTCGTGCTTTAGTAGCACATATTCTTAATTTGAACTTTGAGGCTTGTGAAGCTGAGGGACTATTATACCACTCCAATCCAAAATTTTACGATGTTGGTCTACTGACTACCACGGGTAAATTGATATGTTAGATTCTTTTTTTCAAAGGATCTTTCCTTTTTTTTTTTTTGTATAATATTTGATTTGTATGTTTCTTTTGCAATGCGAACTGATTTGGGTACCACTTCTTCGAAGGCCCCTAAGAAAAATAAGACGTCAATACCTCCCTCTCCTAAAAAATTGATTCCTGGAGATTCAGGAAGTTCCAAAATTATTCCTTCACGGCCAATCGAGGTTTCGACCGAGCGACCTCCGTCGAAAGTCTTTATTGTTGGCAGGGGCAAATCTAGGATTTTCAATAAGGGGGCTAAAATTTAGAGAATACAGAAAATTGCTTGCAGATTAATATTTCTCATGGTAATATAAATTGATATTCTAAACAGTTCAACAATTTCCTCTTTCTTGATTATGACAAATAAAGATGATTTGCAACAAATTGATAAGGATGAAAAACTTTAGATATTACACGTGATTCGTATATTCTCCCATATCTTATACAAGTCAAGCATTTGTCACATTTGTATATCAACATATGCATATGATATATTTTTCCCTTTTTGGCATAAGCAAAAAGCATGTAAATGGAAACCTCAAAGCATGATGCATTCATAAATCAAAATAAAGGACAACCATAGTCACAATTAATAGGAAGTAAATGTGATCCAAACCGTCACAATATAAAAACAAATTTATCCATAAAGAAGCTAAATGAAGCAATAGTGTATCCAAGACATAGATATAAAATATAACAAAAAGCTACGGCTCCGGAGGAGGTAGTGGAGGAAAGTGAGCGTAGAAGGCATTCTTCTAATCTTACATCACCGCTTGTTGCTCTTGAATGACATCTTGTTAAGATTGGATGGCAGCCTGTTGAACTTGCAACAGGTGAAACATTCCTTGAAGATTGTCAATAGAGGTTGTAAAGGAATCAATGCGCCCATTAAGAAGATTATAGTGATCCTCGGTAAATGTGAAACCACCAATTAAAGAATGAAGAACACTAGAGCCTGATTTATAAAACAAATCGGCCCCTTTGACCTGGAATGTCATGAAGAGGATTCGGAACTTGTGGTACATCATCGACATCATCATCCTCATCGCCCTCGAAGGGTAGTGTCGAAAGGACTCGAGGTGGGATCAAACCCTTTTGTGTGAGCAACTCATTGACCATGTTCTTTTACTATTTCCATCTGTTTAAGAGTTTGAACATTGATGATGTTGGTATGGCGAAGTTTAACAAATGTCTCATCATTCAAAGGTAAAGCTTTAACATGATGAGTGGAATGGACAAGTTTTATGAAACGTAATGCAATGCTTGAAAAATCTAATTTTTTCCCAACAATAAATGAATCGAGAATGAAAAGATCAAAATTATTTACTTCATCCTGATGACCCTTTTGAGGAAGAATGACAGGTGCAACGATGTTTTGTAAAAAATTTACATGGAAGAGTGAGTTGATTTGCACTAAATTTTGTGATATTCTCAATATTCTTCCTGGTGACCTGACGACATAGGGTCATATCATTCCAAAATGGGATGAGTTTTATGTAGAAAAAATTGAGTTTCATACAATTCAAGCTCAAGAATATTATGAATAAGAGCTTTGTTAATGGTAATGCTTATACTTTTTAGTAAACAAGAAATCTCATACGAACGAGGAGCAATGACTGTGTTTTTGTAAAATTGTTCCATGAGACTTGGATATGCGTGTTCCTCTAAAGTAACAATAGACACCCTATCCATATCTTCAAAAAAGTTCATTTATCTGAAATGCGGGTGCTTCAATAGTAAAATTGGCAAAATCAACATTTTTACCTATTAAAATTAGAGTTTTTTCAAAAAGGTTAGCCGGAACCTCCGGTTCCATGTCGAATTCTTCGTCGAATAAATGTGAAGTAGATCATCTCACGGATCTTTTAAATCATTTTCCCACTTTTTTAGACCCCGACATTGCAAGAAAAATGATGTAGAAAAGAAATGAAGTAGAAGAAAAAGAAAAATCGAACTAGGGTTTCAGATTTTTGGGGTATTTTGAATGTAGTGGATGAAAGTTTGAATTTCTGAGGAATTTTAAGTGTAGAAATAATGGGTTTTTCAATTAGAGAGGTAATTGATGATTTGCAGTGGAAAAATGAAGAACGTAGAGGAGATTTAGGGAGAGTAATGCGAGAGAAGTGGAAGAAAATGGAGGAGAAAGAACCTTTTACGCAATTTTAAAAACTGAAATCGCATAAAACTGGATGTCTGATTCACTTACTGGATGTCTGGATTGACAAAGTATGGTTTAGGAAAAAAAAACCTTCTTTCAAACCGGTCAAGGTGTCCAGACAATCTATTTGACTCGTCGTATCTTTTTTTTTTAAATCAAGTGTAAAATAAGTAATGACACGTAGAGAAACTGTAACGACCTGACCTTATGCCGAAATCATTATCTTATGTACTATCCGCTTTGGGTGAGCCTAGGCCCATCCTATCCCTCACGGCTTTTTGATATGTCCCCCAAAATTCGAACCCAAGACCTCCATCATATGGGAGACTTAAGTTGAATCCTGGTACCAATTGGACAAGTTGTCCATCGTTAGAAACTCTACAAAAAACAAGGTGCACCTTCTTTTTCGAAAATCCATCGTTAGAAACTATACAATTAAGCGTGCTTGGCTTGGAGTAATTCTATGATGGGTGACCCCCTAGGAAGTTTTCTTGGGGAGCGTGCGAGTGATGACAAAGCATGCTGAAAAGACTCATGTTGGTACAGTGAGGACAGTACATCGTCAATCTAACGGCCGGGACAGCACGTTAAGTGGGACCCGGGTCGTTACAAATGGTCCAATTGGTACCAGGATTCAACTTAAGTCTCCCATATGATGGAGGTCTTGGGTTCGAATTCTGGGGGACGCGTCAAAAAGCCGTGAGAGGATAAGTGGGCAGAAGCCCACCCCAGAACGGGCAGTTTGTAAGATAACGGTTTCGGTGAGAGGTCGAGTCGTTACAAAAATGCAAGGTTTGTTTTGTTCGAAGTTTTTTATTCGTAATGGCTTCTATGAAATATGATATTCCGCTTTTGGATCGGAACACTAGATTTTCGCTATGGCAGGTTAAGATACATGCAGTACTCGCACGACTGAATTTGGATGATGTGTTACTGAGAATTGACAAGATGCCCGCAACTTTGACCGCGGAGGAGAAATTACGGAAGGATAAGAAGGCAGTTTCTCACATTCATCTTCATCTATCAAATACTATTCTTTAGGACGTTTTGAAGGAGAATTCAGCAGCTGCTTTAAGGTTGAGGTTGGAGCAATTGTATATGACTAAAAGTCTGACAAGAAAGTTGAACCTTAAGCAACGCTTATACTCTCATCGAATGGCAGAAGGACGATCATTGGAAGACCACCAACTATATTTAAGGAGATCGTCCCTGATTTGAAAACTTTGGAAGCAGAATATGATGAAGAAGATTTGGCCTTGATCCTATTATGTTTGTTGCCCACTTCGTTTTCTTCTTTTAGAGACACGATTTTGTATAGTCGTGATACTCTCACCATAGAGGAAGTGTATGATGCTTTGTTTTCAAAAGAAAAGATNTATGTGAAACTTAAACTAAGAAAATAGTAACATAACAAGCATAACAGATTATTTTACAAATAAGTAATGACCATTACAATTAATTCAACGAACTAACAAAATTTATAAAACATTTTACACTAATAAACAAAAAAATTGCCAAATGTTCTAATTAAAAGAGGAATAAATATGCAGCATTTGATCATTTGTGCATTGCCATCATATCTCGCCTCCTGTGAATCTCCAGAATCAGTGTAAACAAGACCTCGTCATCTGGTATATTCTCAATGAACTAAAAACCACTACGAAGAAGTTCATAAAAGGGCACACAGTAATGATCATCCTCAACTACGTAAAGCAAAGAGAATGAACTCAGCCCAAGGTGCACGAATACAACACTGGATAACCAGAGAAATTAAAGCAGATTCTATCACAGCACGCAGCTACACCTGGTCCTGGAAAAGATGCACCACGAAGTCAAGAAACAAATTTAATGTAATCAACAAACTATCTATTGATGCTACCAGAACTTGTGTCCCAAAGCTTACAGGAAATTGGATCTATAGCTGCTCAAATCTAAGAGAAATTGTTCATTTGATGGAGGAAGCTCTCTGTTAAAAGCAGTAACCTGCTTCAGTGTCTTGTTCCTGTGAAACAATTTTATCAATATCCATCATAAGATTTTATCCATACAAAGAACAATAAAAATAAGGGTAGAAAATTTCAAAGTTGATGTATAAAGTACGAATGGGATAATCTAGTTTCCCTATAAGATACCTGCACTATTGAGAAAAACATATTTAATGTCTTCTCCATCTTCTAAAAATAGTTAATAAGTAATGTACCATCAATTCTGCAAGTAATGAAGTCAAGACTCTAACTTAATTAGTTAACTAATGGATCAAAGTGTTTTCCATCAAAAGTAAACACAATTAACTAATTTGGGAAGTCTGGTAAAAAGATCTCACACGTAATAAATGGTGTACAAATACAAACTTACCGATGACAAAGGATGTTCAAATGCCAACATAAGAGCGAAGCACGAAATAACTAGAATTTCTTTCAACTTCAAGGCCACTTCTGAAACCATGTTCAGATCTAAATGGAGAAAGTCACATGACGTAAGTAGTACTGATTGTGATGTAGTAAACTTGGAGGAAAATGCATTTTTGTCTGAGGCAACCACCCCCTTAAATTTACCAAGTTCTTGTGCATCTAAACCCATCAAGGACCATGAATCATCATCATCAAGCCACTCCAACCTCCTAATACTTAGCCCAAACTTACTTTCCACCCCTGAAAGAGAAGTATATTAGGCAACCATCCAATGTTTAGGATGAATGATTGGCATTGATAAATACTGCTCAAAAACTGAAACTAATAAATAACATCAGTTGCATACTAGCCTCGTGGCACAATGCTCTGCAGATAGAATTCATCCCAGGAACACCTACATATTTCTTGTTTACTCCTTTCTAATTTCAATTAAACTTCAGTAGTCAGTCAGCTCGATATATGATGATTCTTTGATATATAGAGTAAGGATCGCATGTAATTCAACAAGGGGTCAATTACAACAATAATGATAGATAGGCTGGTGCTCAAATATAACAAACTAGTGAGCCTATCAAGCTAATTTGATGCATTCAATAGCCTCAACAAAGAAGAAAAGGGATTGCATCAGTTAAGAAACATCAAAACAAAGAACCTTCTAGGCAAATAATGATAAGGTGAATAGCTATATCATTCCCCCATTTGAGTAAATTGAACATAGACACAACATTAAGGTGTAGATAACAAAATAAATAGTGGTAGTCAATTTTTGAGAGTGAAGATTATTGATTAACCTCTTCAATTTTGAGGAATTTTTTGGCACCGCAATCAAATGAATCGAACTTCTCTTTCCACTCAGCCACAAACCCTCTTGATTTCCAATTGTTGACTAGGCTCTGCACCTCAGAGTTGCTAGCATTCAACGAGAAACATGGCACTCCATGGTCGAATAATAGCTCCCTCCCATCTTCAGCAATTTCTCTAAAAAATCCTTTCAGAAAGTAAATAAAAATTCTTCAAAATGTAAGTATCAATGGTGATAATAAAAATACCTGCGCTGAGATATCCGGCCCTGGGTCCTCTAGCAGACTCGAAAATGGTGACTGAAATTCCCTTTTTCTAGAATCGATGCACACACTGTTCCTGAAACTGGGAATTTGAAGATAACACAAGCTCAGTACATGATCAATTAATTAATATTCAATTTAATTATGACAGTTTGATTATGTTATTATAAATATGCTGATCGCTTATGTTTTAAGAAAAGAGAACAAGCTTCGAGTAGTGATTGCCGCAGGCCATTTACTCTTACTGCGTATGGCGGCGACTTTAGAAGCGATGCTTGACATGGCGGCGGTGGCGGCGAGTATGCTTGATTCTATAGTAGCGTCGACACTGCATTCACGGAAGAGTCGCCTCCCCACGTCGGCTCTGGTACCTACTTATCTCCTTCGTCCAAAGGAAAGGAAGAGAGGGGATGGATTGCAAGAAGATGGAATAAATTTAAAATGGGGCAGTGGTGGTGTTAAAAATGGCCATTTCCCGTGTTTTCCTTTTTTCCCCTATTTTTGCTTGAAAACAGCCAAAACATTGTTTTTATTGTTTTGTGTTTTGTGTACAAATATTTTATCGTTTTCAAAAACGCGTTTTCAAAACTAGGAAAGAGAACGCGTTTTCATTATTTTGGAAGATTGGAAATAGAAAACGATCCAAAACGGCCAAAGAGAACACCACCTTAGGGTTCCATTCCAGAGATGGGGCCTGAGAAACGGCAACTTGCCCAATTGGTACCAGTATTCAACTTAAATTTTCCATGTGATGGAGGACTTAGGTTCGAATCCTCTGGGACGCGTCAGAAATCCGTGAGGGGTAAGATGGGTCTAGGCTCTCCCGAAGCGGACAGTACGTAAGATAATTGCTCCGGTGCGAGGTTGAGTCATTACAAAAAAATGTGCATTTTTTTGTAACGCCCCAGGTCTCTATACCCAAGCTGCTAGCTTTCGTACTATTCGCTTTGGGAGAGTTTAGACCCATCCTACCCCTCACGACTTTCTGACACTTCCCCCAGGATTCGAACCTAAGACCTCCATCATATGGAAGACTTAAGTTGAATCCTGGTACCAATTGGGCAACTTAAGTCTTCCATATGATGGAGGTCTTGGGTTCAAATCCTGGGGGACGCGTCGAAAGCCTTAAGGGGTAGGATGGGCCTAAACTCTCCCAAAGCGGATAGTACGAAAACTAACGGCTTGGGTATAGAGACCTGGGTTGTTACGGAAACATCTATGAACACATAGTTTGAATTCCACATAGTTATGCACTTCGAATTCAACATAGTTATGAACACGTAGTTTAGTGGAGATATTGGCCAATTGATTTTTCGTGTTCACAAATTCTAACACAATATCTCTCTTTTGTACATGATCTCTTAGAAAGTGATGTCTAATTTCATAGACTTTGTTCGAGAGTGCAAAATAGGTTATCACACATGATAGGTATATGATCGAATGACATGTGATAATCACTGAGAGTTTGTTTCATCCATAAAACTTGTGCACAACAACTAGCGGTTGAGATATATTTGGCTCCAGTGGTAGACAATGCAATGGAATTTTATTTCTTACTAAACCATGACACAAGTACAAAGTCCAGAAAATGACAAGTTTCGCTAGTGCTTTTGCGATCAATTGTGCAACCGGTCCAATTGGCATCTAAATAACTATGTAGATTAATGTGAGTGCCTTTTGGATTCCAAAGCCCTAAGGTTCTAGTGCCACTAAGATATCTAAAAATTCTTTTTACGGCACTAAGGTGAGGCTCTTTAGGATTTGATTGAAATCTAGCACATAAACATGCACTAAACATAATATTGGGTCTACTTGCGGTTAAGTAAATAATTGATCCAATCATACCTCAATATTTTGTGACATCAATGAAAGTACATTGATCATCTTTATCCAATTTTATGGATGTACTTATAGGATTGTTCATTGTCTTCAACTCATCCATTTCAATCCTCTTGAATATGTCCAATACATACTTATTTTGATTGATGAATATTCCATCACTAGTTTACTTAATTTGGAGACCAAAGAAGAATTTAAGCTCTCCCATCATACTCATTTCAAATTACATGCATTTTGTAAGTTCTTCATAAATATGGAAATTAGTTACACCAAAATAATATCATCATCATAAATTTGAAGAACAATCATATCATTCTTTTGAATTTTGACGAAAAGATTAGGGGTTGTTCTCTTCGTGTTTGATTTTTGAATTCATTTTGAATTTTATCTTTTGAGTGTCCATTTTGAGATTGTTGAAAATGTGTTCTTTTATCATTTTGAAAAATTTTGAAAAATTATTTTCGAAAATAAAGAAAATGAAAATTTGTTCTCTCTCTCGCGTCTTTCTCTCTCTCTCTTCATTTCATCATCCGTTGTCTCTCTCTCCAGCCCTCCCTGAGATAGTCGGCATACCAGTGCTCCCAGCAACCTGCACTTCTGGCGATCTCCCTGCGAACGGCGCACCCTGCGACGCTGATGTTCTCTGTGCTTCTTTGTCTTTTCTTTTTCTTTTTCTTTTTCTTTTTTGATTCGGTGGTTGGTTTGGGTGAAGTGGTGGCGTGTGGTAGTTGGATGCATGGTGTGCAGGGGTTGGATGCAGTGGTGGTGTGCGATATGGTGGCGATCTACTGGTTGTGGATGTGCTGGTAGTGGTTCTGCATCGATTTTGATGGTTTATGTGGTGGTGGATCTGGCGGTTGTGTGGTGGCAATTTTTGTGGTGGTGGCTATGGGGGATGGTGGCTGTGGTGGAGGTTTTTGTAGTGGTGGCTGTTGTGGTAGATCGACGGTTGTGTGGTGATGGTGTGATACAGGCGACGGTGGTGGTTGGGGTGATGTTGTGGTGGCGACGATAGCGACTGTGGTTTTTGTGGTAATGTGGTGTTGGCGGTGTTGGTGGTGGTTTGGGTGACGTTAAACTGAAAACACCCAAAATGGGTTTTGAAAATTTTAGCTTGGCTTTAATTGAAAACACCCAAAACGACATTTTTATCGTTTTCGGAAACTCATTTTTGAAAATAGATAAGTAAACGTGTTTTCACTATTTTGAAAAATCGAAAACAGAAAACGAACTGAAAATGGAAAAGAGAACAGACCCTTAGTTTTCGCTTTTCCTATTGAAAAATCATTTGAAAGTATAAATTTGCTCAATCTTTCATACCAAGTTCTAAGAACTTTTTTTAAAGCGGGAAGAGCCTTTCTATGTTTAAAAACATAATCCGGATAATTGTGATCTTTAAAATCAGAGATTACTCAACAAAGACTTCTTCTTGAATAAAGTCATTTAGAAATGCATTTTTTACATCCATTTGATAAAGAGTGAATCCTTTATGACAAGTAAATGTAAGAAACATGCGAATGAATTCTAATCTAGCAACACCTCTTCTTGAATGAAACCATTTCAAAATGCACTCTTTACATCCGTTTGATAGAGAGTAAAGCCTTTTCAACAAGCAAAAGTGAGAAGCATGCGAATATGCTCTAATCTAGCAACCGGTGCAAAGGTTCTCTCAAAATTAATACCTTCTTCTTGATTGTAACATTGGGCCACTTATATAGTCGTGTTGCGCACAATTATTCCATTTTCATCTCGTTTATTTCTAAAAACTCATTTTGTGCCGATGACGGTTTGATCATTTGGTCTGGCCACTAAATACAAACATAATTTCTTTCAAATTGATTTTAGTTCTTCTTGCATAACTAGAATCCAAAATTTATCAAACTAGGCTTCCTTGAAATTTTTTAGTTCAATTTATGAAATGAAAGCACAACTATTTAGATGATTTTTTGGTAGAAACACTAGTAGTAATACATTTGGATGGATCGCCAATGATTAGTTCTTTTGGATGAGTTGGAAACCTCTTCTTGAATGAAACCATTTCAAAATGCACTCTTTACATCCGTTTGATAGAGAGTAAAGCCTTTTCAACAAGCAAAAGTGAGAAGCATGCGAATATGCTCTAATCTAGCAACCGGTGCAAAGGTTCTCTCAAAATTAATACCTTCTTCTTGATTGTAACATTGGGCCACTTATATAGTCGTGTTGCACACAATTATTCCATTTTCATCTCGTTTATTTCTAAAAACTCATTTTGTGCCGATGATGGTTTGATCATTTGGTCTGGCCACTAAATACAAACACAATTTCTTTCAAATTGATTTTAGTTCTTCTTGCATAACTAGAATCCAAAATTTATCAAACTAGGCTTCCTTGAAATTTTTTAGTTCAATTTATGAAATGAAAGCACAACTATTTAGATGATTTTTGGTAGAAACACTAGTAGTAATACATTTGGATGGATCGCCAATAATTAGTTCTTTTGGATGAGTTGGAACGAAACTTCATNATTAGTTCTTTTGGATGAGTTGGAACGAAACTTCATTCTTTTGGTAGAGATTGATCATTTTTTACTTCGGTAGGTTTTTCTTCACTTTGTTGGACGTTTCCTTCCTCATTTTGTTCATCTCTTGGATCTTCTTTGTTTTGGTCTTGAACAATCATTTGTTCAAAATGAATTTCCAACCCTACATCATTAGCAATACATTTTTCATGATCGAGAGGGTTAGTTTCATCGAAGGTGACACTGATAGATTCTTCAACGATTAAAGTTCTTTTGTTAAAGACTCTATAAGTTTTGCTAGTCGATGAATATCCTAGACATATACCAATATCATATTTTGAATCAAAATTTTCCAATTTTTCTTTTGTGTTCAAAATAAAGCATTTGCAACCAAAAACTTTGAAATAACCGATATTTGGAATTCTATTTTTCCAAAGCTCAAATGGGGTTTTAGTTTTCTTTTGACTAACTAAAAATCTATTTGCAGTATAGCAAGTGATGTTTTATTTTGGCATGCTATTTTCATTTAGCATGGCCCTAACAATTTCTTGCAATGTGCGATACTTCTTTTGTACTATACCATTTTGTTGAGGAGTTCCAGGAGTAGAGAAATTATGTTCATATCCATTTTCATTGCATCAAAGCCGATATGATCAAATTATCCATCATGATCACTCCTAATAGTTGTAATGTAGTATCATTTTTCATTTTGCTCCTGTTTGCAAAAATATCTGAATGTCTTTAAAGCTTCATCTTTAAGAATTAGGAATAGAACTCAAGTGAATCTAGAGAAGTCATTGACAATGACGAAAGCATAATGTTACAATCAAGCTAGCGGTTCTAGAAGGTCCAAAAAAAAAATTTGTGTAGAGTAGTTGAAGTGGTTTTGTAGTCGAAAAATATAGTTTAGTTTTAAGAGAGCTTTTCACTTGTTTACCAAATG